GGCCCAGATTTCTACACAGTAGTAAATACATGTTGTGGTACACGAGACGTGGCCCAGATTTCTACACAGTAGTATATACATGTTGTGGTGCACGAGACGTGACCCAGATTTCTACACAGTAGGAGATATATGTTCTGGTACACGAGACGTGGCCCAGATTTCTATGCAGTACTAGATACATGCTGTGGTACACGAGACGTGGCCCAGATTTCTATGCAGTAGTACATACGTGTTGTGGTACACGAGACGTGGCCCAGATTTCTCCATAGTAGTAAATACATGTTGTGGTGCATGAGACGTGGCCCAGGTTTCGATGCAATAGTAAATACATGTTGCGGTACACGAGTCGTGGCCCAGATTTCTACATAGTAGTAAATATATGTTGTGGCGCACGAGACATGGTCCAGATTTATATGCAGAAGTAAGATACATGCTATGGTGCACGAGACGTGGCCCAGATTTATATGCAGTAGTAGATACATGCTGTGGTACACGAGACGTGGCCCAGATTTATATGCAGTAGTAGATACATGCTGTGGTACACGAGACTTGTCCCAGATTTCTATATAGTAGTAAATAGATGTTGTGGTGCACGAGACGTGGCCCAGATTTCTATGCAATAGTAAGTACATGTTGCGGTACACGAGAAGTGGCCCAGATTTCTACACAGTAGTAGATGCATGTTGTGGTACACGTGACATGGCCAAGGTTTCTACACAGTAATAGATACGTGTCGTGGTACACGAGACGTGGCCCAGATTTCTACATAGTATTAAATACACGTTGTGGTGCACGAGAAGTGGCCCATATTTCTACACAGTAGTAGATACATACTGTGGTGCACGAGACGTGACCCAGATTTTTACACAGTAGGAGATACATGTTCTGGTACACGAGACGTGGCCCAGGTTTCTATGCAATAGTAAGTACATGTTGCGGTACACAAGACGTGGCCCAGATTTCAACACAATAGTAGATGCATATTGTGGTGCACGTAACATGGCCAAGGTTTCTACACAGTAGTAGATACGTGTTGTGGTACACGAGACGTGACACAGATTTCTACACAGTAGGAGATACATGTTGTGGTACACGAGAAGTGGCCCAGGATTTCTATGCAGTAGTAGATACATGTTATGGTACACGAGACGTGGCCCAAATTTCTATGCAGTAGTAGATACGTGTTGTGGTACACGAGACGTGGCTCAGATTTCTCCATAGTAGTAAATACATGTTGTGGTGCACGAGACGTGGCCCAGGTTTCTACACAGTAGTAGAGACGTGTTGTGGTACACGAGACGTGGCCCAGGTTTCTACACAGTAGTAGATACGTGTTGTGGTACACGAGACGTGACCCAGATTTCTACACAGTAGGAGATACATGTTGTGGTACACGAGACGTGGCCCAGATTTTTATGCAGTAGTAGATACACGCTGTGATACACGAGACGTGGCCCAGGTTTCTATGCAATAGTAAGTACATGTTGCGGTACACAAGACGTGGCCCAGATTTCTACACAGTAGTAGATGCATGTTGTGGTACATGTGACATGGCCAAGGTTTCTACACAGTAGTAGATACGTTTCGTGATACACGAGACGTGGCCCAGGTTTCTACACAGTAGTAGATACATGTTGTGGTACACGAGACGTGGCCCAGGTTTCTAAACAGTAGTAGATACGTGTTATGGTACACGAGACGTGGCCCAGATTTCTACACAGTAGTAGATACATGTTGTGGTACACGAGACATGGCCCAGATTTCTATGCAATAGTAGAAACGTGTTTTGGTACACGAAGCGTGGCTTAGATTTCTGTTCAATAGTAGATATGTGCTGTGGCTCAAGAGGCTTGGCTTAGGTTTCTATATGTTAGACTATAGAACCTTAACACTATTGAAGTATTCTAAAGTTTTTTTTAACATTAATTTTATTCTAAAGTTTTTTATCATTAATTTTATTCAAAAAATCAAATTTTGCGTTGATTAACTTGTAGACTCCTAGATTTGACAACAACAAGCATGTAGCAGAGTAACAGCGATATAAATCTTGATGGTAAGGTTAGTTATAATGAAAGCAATCCTGTTGAAGTAACATCTGTGATTGTTAACTTTATCCTTTGGTCATTAGTTTTCTACTTTCCATCTTTTCTGATGAAACGAATATTTTTTACTGATATTTTTGTGACTAAGACTTTTTTATTGTAAATATAATATTCATTCAGGAGTGCATAAAATCAGAATTTATAGTAACGTATTAAAAAATAGATGTTATTAAGTCCGTTAAGTTGAAACTTTCCCTTAAAGTCTTTTTTTTTACCTCCACAAAGAAGAAGAAAATATTTCTCTAAAGCCAAAGTGAAAACAAATTCTACATTGATACTGGTGTTAAAAAAACAACGGACGAATGCTAACTATACGAAATTAATTGCTGCTAGATCCTGAAAATTTTGTTTCTGTTACACATTATGACCAAATTGTTAGCATGCTAGGCCTGTGAGTCCGATTACTTATAGCTCGCAACCCGTTGCCGCAAAAAAATAATTTTTAATGTGGGATCTTGGTGTGCTGTAAGAGTAATGGTCAAATCAGACAAGAGCAGTACAAGAGTTAGCGATAAGTGCTGTTGACCATCTGCCTTCCACCTTTTCTATCAATTCAAAATTAGAGACGGCTATGTGCGCAAATAGCCTTGTGTAACTCGAAAATAAACAGCAATTACATCCTAAACTCACGGTTCAGAAAAATTAATACAGAACTTTTATTTCAAATTGTTCTGCAAGGAACAAAGAAATACTTCTCAAAGTAAATTAAAATAGTCTTAGAATTACGTATAAGCTCATAAAATGTCAATAAACCTTTACTAAACAGATTTGGATGTCCCACTTTTTGAAGAGACGTTACTCAAATTCAAGCTTATCTCTAATTTGTTTCGAAAAACCGCTAGAGGGCTATCTGCAATAGCCGTTCCAAATTTGGAACTATAGACTAGAAGGAAGGCAACTAGTCAACAGAACCCACCGCCAAATGCTGGACTACTCTTTTGAGACCGAATAGTTGGATTGGACCGTCAGTCTTATAACATCGGCGGTAATAATTACCTTTTAACAGAAAATAAATCGAAACGTCGAAGACCAGCGTAAATCAAGTAAAGTATTAAACGAAACGTCGAAGACCAGCGTAAATTAAGTAAAGTATTAAACGAAACGTCGAAGACCAGCGTAAATCAAGTAAAGTATTGAATGTAAAATTTAAAACTTATCGTTGTGAAAATAAAAACCAAGATATGACAACAAGTAGTTGAAGTAATACTCTTTAGCACAAATGGCAGCATTTAAGATGACCTTTTTACTCTAAGGGCTCAAAAGAAGAGGTGATTAGTGTAGTAGACCGTAACTTCGTTCAAAAAACGTCACTAATGATTCACAGCCTGTTGAATTCTGTCTAAAGTAATTAGCATGGTGTTATTTAACATTCCAGATGATTTTCTATAAAAACCATACAAGGTCAATACAGAGTGTTATCTCCAATCATGAATGATCCGTCAGCGGATGTCGAATTATGTTGGATGATCTGCAGACCCATCTTATTAAGTAGATAAGTTTATTTGTATCCGTAAAACTCTGGGTGGCAAAATGTCAAATTAAGGTTATTAAACTATTTACCTTTTTCAGCTTTCGCCACTGGTGAAGCTTGAGAAAGACCTAAGAGTTTCAGAGAGCTTGGTCTTTGGGGATTTGGAGGTCTCTGGATGGGTGGAATTCTGGCTAGGATATCGGATAAGGCTGAAGAAGCAGACCTACAAAGAATTTAGTAAACTTTATTTTTTGCCTAACGTCATTAAAATAACTATGTTCAATTTACCATAACATATAAAATTCCCTTTTTGCCTGTTGTTGAAGCTACGTTTGAATAAGGTTAAACCACATTTATGAAAGTGTTTTATGGATTTATAAGAATAAGCAGAAATATTTTGTATTGGTTCTAATTCGAACTCAGCTTTTTCTATGAAGATGTATTAGCCTTATAAAACGCTTTACGTGTTGCAATATTTCAAATCTTATTTTTAAGTTAAGCTTACTTTTGTAAATATCAAGTCTTAAAATGATTCTTTCGCTATCTCGCTGCAAACAAATGTGTAATTTTAAAACAAGGAAGTTGCTATTTCTAACACCCGTAATTCACGTGGCTGCTAGGCTTCAGATAATTACTTAATTGATTAACTCATAATTTAAATGTAAACACAAAGATCTACGAGTTAAACTATATGTTAATATATTTTCATATTTTTCAATAATTGCAAATATAACTTTTAAAAGATGGAAGTTTTGTTTGGTTTGTTAGCTCTAAGATATTGGTAGTGTTGGTAACTTTACAACGTATAATTTATACCTTCACGTCCAGTCATTTTGTTCTCCTAGAAACCAGACAAAATTGGAAAATTTCACGAAATATATTAAAACAATTATACTTGATTGATTTATTGAATACTATAACCTTAGACAAGCCCTACAAACTCTGTGTCATGTGTTCAGTGTGAAAAACTCTAACTGCAGGATTAATATCAAGATGCACGGTCGTCAGAGAGAGCATGACCAGACGAGGCGATGTGAACTGTAACGACGTGGTGAGGCTCTAAAACCATTTAAATATAACTTTCTCAACCCTCTGACTTGCCTCATTTCAATTTTATCTTACAATCTGAATTTGATAGATAATAATGAAAACTTATAACTTCTTATTGCTAGTTTTCTAGTTTTCGCTGCTAGAAATTTCAGAATGTGAAGAAAACTTATTATAGCACGTAGAGGTATAACGAAGAACTTAAACTTTGGTACCGCCTTACACACAGTCAAACAATGATTATCACTATATCTCCGACTTTAATTATACCGAAGAACTAAAGTGTTGGTACTACATCAGATTCAGCCAGACAGTGGTTAGCATTGTTATCTAGATCGGAGTTTTTGACTTGAGAGTGCTAAAATTAGAGTAGTACTACTAACCACTCTCTATTTGAATGTGACGATCTAATTAACACTTCGGTATAATTTTACGTGCTCATAATAACCTTTAAGATTTGCATCCAGGAGCCTCGCGAAACCCTGGGAAACCAGCATTAAGTCAGAAAACGAGTTATTTTTCGTTAAAGTTAAAACTATGAGACAACTTACCAACTTTGGCTTTCTCCTTCTCTGAAACCTTTCGCAAATGGATTGCTAGCTATCTTAAGTTGTGTTATCTGAAAGAGCCATGACATGTGAAGGTTACAAACAATAAGAAGCAATAACATCTCAAAAATTGACAATTTTCACGTGATTTTTATGCAATTTATTTTCTTAAACGTAAAAGTGGGGAATATACTAGTGCAACACTGTAGAAATGTCTAACAAAAAACAATAGTAAATAATGGAAATGCTCATCACAGAAAATTAAAGGATACTGCTCGTGCTGCAAAATAGTTTACTGCTAGAAGCCTTACAAAACTTATGTTAGGTTTACACCATTATTTTTAATAGAGGTGGAGTTTTTCAAGCTGTTTGTTGCCAGATTAAATAGAAACGTTGAGTGCTACTAATTTACTCCCTAAACGTTAGAGCAAGTCTTATAAAAGCCTCACTACAATATGCAGCTGCTACACATTTGAAACAACATACACCTATTGACAACTATGGTTTCAGAAAAATAAATCCAGATTTGAAAATGACAAAAACAATCTTAACTTACCCTATGGTTCTGGTAAGCTGTAACTGCAATAAATTTGGTTTCTGGAAAAACAAACGTTTTGAAGTTTTGAGTTCGACTGGGATCCTCATCTTTAGAGTTACGGTATAAAACGTGAAACCTTGGCTGGTAGCGATGCATGGAATTAAGAATGATCTGTGTGTAAAGAGAATAAACCTGAAATAAAAAGCTGGATCACCGAATTACAGAACATTAGGTTATACATCTATTTATGCATATGATAAGATGGAATCTGTACAACCAAAAGGACCACATACTTGATCTGTAGAGATGAGAGAATATGGGTTGCTAATGGGCATACGAGATGTGTTTCCTTATTATCCATTACTCACCACATATGATAATTGATTTCAAAATTTTTAGTCTGTTAGACTAGTTCTCTTATTCCCTATACTTTGGACTCCTTTAGCTTTTGTATATTTCAGTATAATCTTATCTGAGCGAGATATTACATTCTGTGCGAATTTTACAAGGGTTCAGTGGGTTACCTGATGGTATAATTTATTATCTATTGTATTAACAGACTCTTACGTACATAAAACAAATATAATTTATCCATAAAATAGCAACAATCCTTACAGGTACAGTATATCCATAAAATAGCTGCTATCCTTGCATGTACAATATATATCCATAAAATAGGTGCAATTCTTAGATGTACAATACACCATAAAATAGCTACAATTCTTACAGGTACAGTATATCCATAAAATAGCTGCTATCCTTGCATGTACAATATATATCCATAAAATAGGTGTAATTCTTAGATGTACACCGTTAAAATAGCTGGAATTTATGCATGTATAAAAGTGTTGGTATCTTTATCAAAATATAACCCAATAAGCTTGACCAACATATTACTAACGTTTGTTTGTTTTGAAGTTAAGCAGAAAGCTACACAATGGAATATCTGTGCTCTGCCCACCACGGGTATCGAAACCCGAGTTCTAGCGTTGTAAGTCCACAGACTGTGCCACTGGGGGGGAGGGAGACTACTACTAACTTTAAATCTGCGTTACCGTGTTAGCTTGCGGATCTTAACGTCCATGATTTGTGAGAGCGTTAAGAGAGAGGCAATAAGTCTCATTATTCGTTTCAAAGCCCGACAAAGATTGAGAATTCTACTGATTGGCTGTCTTCCCTCTGACCAGTGGTTCATAATTAGGAACAGCTATATCAGAACCCTAGGGGTCTCTGACCTGGCCAGTAACTCAAGTGCGCATAAAATGCCCTTCAGGTTGAACATACGAATAAAACAGCCTCAAGATATTCCAGGTACGCATACATTGATTATTAACTGTATTTTAACTGTCTTTCTGTAAGAATCAGATTAAACATGAAGCTGATTGTCAACCAGAAGCAGTGAAAGCGCTTTTTCCGGACCTAGAATGCAGAAACAAATTCGAAATTAGATTTTTAATCCTAACTGTAGGAGTTTTTCATCTACAGGTCCGACCGAGTCCGAGCTCGAAGGAAAACGAACCTCCATACTATAAGACTTACTAATTGCGATGATAAAGAAACCTTTTAAGTTTCGACCATATTTGTAGGAATAAAAATCTGATCCAGACTGAGTCTGAGCATGCCCATACAAACACAGATTGAAATGTTATTGTTTTCAAATGCGTTTAAGTAACTTTTGTTTGTCAATTGCTTATAAAAAGAACTTACGTGACCATTATCGTCCATTTGATTATTGGTCAGCTTTAATCGGTCAAAAGAAACAACCTGTTTCATCCATTGGCTACCTTTAGCAGGAGAATCAGGATGAACATGGATTCGTGGAGGCATGACTGGATCTGCCTTACCGGATACAACCCACGTGGAGCTAGAAAATTAAAATACATTAATGAAGTCATATATATATATATATATTCCGCGTGTTCTAATATGTATATTTGTCATGTCATGTTCTTTCATTCTATCCTGAAACGTTTACTTTTAAAAATCGTATAAATGTTCATATGGCTTCCCAAGATACATTTAGGCTTCTCTTTACAAAATGTTAATTAACGGGTTAATTTTTAGTTATGACCTATGTAGGCAACTTGTTTTGATCAAGAGTTATTGATAAGCGCAATGCGGTTTTATTAAAACATTAGATTAATGTTGTAAATGTTTGTTTTACATAATATTAGTTACGAGAGCATTGTAATGTATTTCACTATTTGCTTTAAAAAAACAATCATTTTTAACAAACACCCCTGATCTATGGGAAGACTTTTGGCCAAGGCAATGGTTTGAGTACGTATAAATAGCAACAAGACTTGAAAATGTAGGCTTTGGAACTTTAATGGACTGCAACTGCCTGTTGAATGAAAAGGGGGGGCCTTTAGACCTCAGTTTAGAAGCCGAAACGTTGTCCCCTTTTCATTCAACAGGCAGTTGCAGTCCATTAAAGTTCTCAAGCCTACTATGTCTACTCTGCCCACTGAACCAAGACTTGAACTGTTCTGGCCAGACTTATGTTGCTTTGAGTTTGAGCACATAAAATGGCAACAACACTTGATATAACTTGTCCAGACTTATGCTGATTTGAGTTTGAGCACGTATAATTGGCAACAACGCTTGATATGATTTGGCTAGACTTGTGCTGCTTTGAGCTAGCTGCCTTAAACACGTATGGATGCTTCGTTTCTTCGGATCTTCTGATATAACTGATTTTCCTACTGCCTCAGTAGTGTACTATGTTGTTCATTCACATTCAAAACACCATAGTTGCAAACAATCAGTGGACGGCGGGAGATGCAGCATCAGGAGAGAACACAGTAGGCAAAAAAGAAAAAAAAACTTACAAGATGAATGTTTTCTGTCCCTAAAATATAGTTTGAATATATTACTTATTAAGTTCCCCTAAAATTGATCTGTTGTCGTAGGTATTAATAAAATGAAAAAAAAAAAACTTTGAAACAATAAGCTAGTTCTGTGTGTTAATTAGTCATTTTTCATTACATGGAAGACTGGCATGGCCAGGTAGTTAGGGCGCTCGACTCGCAATCTGCGTGTCGCGGGTTCGAATCCTTATCCCACCAAACATGTTCGCCTTTTCAGCCGTGTGGGCGTTATATAGTGGCGGTCAATCCTACTATTCGTTTATAAAAAAAATAGCCCAAGAGTTGGCGGTGGGTGGTGATGACTAGCTGCCTTCCCTCTAGTTTTTCACTGCTAAATTAGGGACGGCTAGCGCAGATAGCCCTCTTGTAGCTTTGCGCGAAATTCAAACCAAGCCATTAAATGACACTAATATATGAAAAATGTAACAATTGTTATTTTTTTAAGACTATGCATTTACAAACCAGGGATGAAATTCTATAAAAAAAAAATTGGAGGTACTCAGCCGGGTGAAGTAGACATGTTTTTCAAAAAGAAAAAAAATCTATGTGTAAACAAAAAACAAAAAAATCTCAAATACGTCCCGGTACTAGTGCCGCCTTAAAAATAAGTTCTGATACTCAGTACCGATAAGTACTAGCTTAATTTTACCCCTGTTACAAACTGACTACTTGCCACCGGATATAAACGATAGGGAAACTCTAGTTATGCTAGGCCTACTCTAGCGATAAATATTGCTTTGAACCTTAGGTATGTATTTAATTATTCCAGTGTAGTTTTACTACAAAAAACAAGAACACATTTTTACTTCAAGCATGTACTTTTAGCAATTAGTTGTGGAACACAAAACTGTTCGACCAAACAAACTATAAATTCTGTTAGTTTTGTTTCTTATGCTAAATAACACCGACGTGAAACTATGTTACGTTTTTGTTTTTCTGAGTAGGAAATTGTATTGTTATTATAGGCGGATGTTCTGACTTCGGTGCTGATCTCGTTTCGCTCATGAGGTGATTCTCGGACATGGCAAAGTATATCGCTTCAAAATTAGAAACACTAGCGTAGATATTCCTCGCGTAACTTCGCGCGAAATCAAACAAGGAAACAATTAATGACTTTCATACTTATTTTAGTATTAGTCCGATGAAATCATTCGAGATTTGTTGCTTATGAAAATAATCTGACCAAATTTTTATGCATAAGACTACCGCCGTGGAGATCTGATAGGTATAGTGTCCCTGTTTCTGACAGTTCTTTAATAATTAATAAATTAGCCTAGATTCGTCACAGTAAATTTTAGAAAAGCTGTTCTGAGGAATAATATACGTTTTATAAATTAAATTTATATATCTGTTCACTTTTTTTTATCAATAAATCCATACCTAGTGAAATGTTATAAGGTATCACGAGAGAGGAACTAATTCGTTGAATGCAAATACTCTACAGAGCGTAGAGTATTACGATATCAGTGTGAGAACACCTGGTATCTTAAAGCATCTTTAATTTGAAAGTCTATAACAGAAGGTATTTTAATCATTATCTAAATAAATACATAATAACTCGTAATTAAGATATCTGTATGCAGAGTGATGTAAAATAATTAAACTTAACTTTATCGTCATAATTCAGGCATGGTTTAATATTGTGGAGTAAGAAATGGTAGATTATAGTATTTTATTTAATTTATTAGATATGTAACGAATTTGTTATTATATATTTATTTTAATATCAACGTTTGTTTAGATT